GCTTGTGTATAATAAACCATAAACTGTGTTATATACGTTATATTATTTCCAATCGCTAAATGTCACTAAAGGATAATGCATAGGATTATTAATTTTTTCACGCGCTTTTTGTGCTCTATTTATTAGTCGAATTTTTATTTATACGTATGGCGATATCCATAAATGGTTTATCATTTGGTCCTATAGTTACTACTTTTCTTGGGATATACTGTAATATAGTAGGGCGTTAAACCCCATTTCATTTCATTTATTTTAATCACTTAAAAAAAATTTGATAGATTTGATTAATGGCATCATTTATTAAAACATTATTTAAACTTTCAATAATCAACAGGTTTATAATTTCTATGTTAATTGTATGATGTATATTCAAAGATTATGATTATTGGCGAATGTGTACTGCATTAACATTAGTGTCTGATTTAAGCGATTTCTTATTACTAATATAAAGATCAATACATGAACCGTCGTACAGTTAGTAGGTTCTATAAACAGGCTTTCACGATATAAATTTATAATAGTTTTGTTTTTAATTTAATACAATAAACTTGAATTACTTAAAGTGTTGATGTTAAAATAAAAATGTTAAGATTAGTTGTTTAACATTTAATAAAAATATAAACGCTAGATAATCTCCCAGCTGGGATTCAAACGACTCCACGAAACATAAAGATGGTGCTATATAACGTGACAATAAAACGATTTGGAAGAAATAAAAGCGAAATAACAAAATAACATTTTTAAGAAAGCATTTTAAGGCAAAGAGTAAAGTGATCATTAATGATTTACTTGAATGCAAAGAAAATTATTTCATCAAAAATTACAAACCAGAATTAAATAAACGGATATTATAATAAGAGATGAAATAATTCTCTTTTCATTGATAAATAAAAAAAAATATGTTTATGCATAAATAAATAAGAAATACGTCCAGGTAAAAACACATCACTACTTTACTTCATTCTGATATACATTAAATCATATAAGCTATCTGCCTGCCGAACCTTGCTGTTTTGGATAAATATGGAATTATCGATGATTACTATATTCCATTATCCCAGCTATTAATTTCAATTTGATAATTCTGGATTTTTTTTTCAATTATATTACATGATACCCGTAACTGGACATGGTGTCTGTGGAGCTTGTAAATAAATATTTGTAGGGCGGTCCATGTGAACTGATTTAAATCATAATTTAGGCAATGCAGGTAGTAATTATCAGATAGTTAATAAACCATACCACCAGATATAAATCAACCCCATGTATATCTATTAAGATTTCCTAAATATTTAAAGATACATTATGGGAGATTAGATAAAGAGCTGGCAGTTCTCACTGTAATAGTTAAAAACTAGAAAATGTAAAAGGAATATGCTGAAAATTTCAGTCAAATTGATCCACCATGAACCGAGAATTAAGCATTTGAAATTTCGGCCTAGCCTCGGTCATCATTACTAAAGACGGTACGATAAAAAAAACAGAGTCTTAATTATCCATTTCGTGATTATATCATGAATAAAATAAATATCGCAGGCTAGCGTTGATTATGGTCTGGATAAGTTAATTAATGTCTAATTAATAATTTAGATAACATTTCAGGCCTACAGAAAGACCTGCAATTGGCGTATTTAGCTCATGCATAATGTATGTTTAATTTAAAAAAATAAATGGCCTCCAGTATAGCCTGTATTCAATACACAAGTCCGTTCAAGTTTAAATCAAGTTTAGATGTGATTGATTCGTTTTTAGAACGATTTTATTGTAAGTGCGTTTTTAATTGTTATTGGTCCCAGATTTCAACTGATATTTAAGTGAAGGGGTAATTCTAATATCTTGATTAAAAGAGTTTCATGGTGTGTGCTCGTGTGGCGTAATCAACAAGGGGTTTTAAAAAGTTAGCAATATATTGATCATATTTTCCCGTTAAGATCTTGTACTCCTACTCATGCAAATACATGTATATTCAAGAAAGGTTGCCATTGGTACTGATATAATATGTATGTTATTTTCGACATTATATCACGTCATATTTATATTCATGAAAATATCCCCGGTAAGGTTTTTATGAAAGTAAACATTAACGTATATTAGTTCTGAAACTAAGTTTCAAAGAATATTTCCTTAAAAAGAATATCTTATATTGAATCGAATCAAAAGAGTTATAAAACACACTGAGTAGTTATGACCTATCACACGATCTCAAAATTACACCTTTTGAATATTTAATAACATGTTTATGAAGGATTTTTTGTATAAAATAAACAATTACTGTATTTCTATGAAAGCTACGTTTGAACAAAGATACAGTAATTGTTATCCATAGAACGGCTGTGTTTATTTTAATGTGTTCAATTACTAAATGCCATTCAAACAGGATAATATGTAATATGTAATGCATTCTGAAACTAGATATGTTGTATTTAAAGTAGCTAAGTCTCTAACTCAATATCATCCAAAACCTTCGACATTGAAAACACGAATTATTTGTCAATTGTAATCAACATTGATGTTGTGATCTTACCGGGAAAAGATGGGCTTCCGATGTCCAATATTTAAGACAAAATAAACATTTTTCCATTGGTATACGAATCGTGTACCACAATGCGTTTCAGCGTCATTTGTAACAAGCGACTCGAAGAACGAGGTTAGACATATTCCACAAGTCATGTCAAACGGTGACCACATATTCTTATCTGGAGAGCATGCACGATAAATACTATCAGTGTAGACTATAATAAACAGACGCTAGAGGTTGTCATTCGGTTGAGAATTCTGGCGTATTTCGCCGAACATACGTGCTTTGAAATTAGAATAAAAACGGAAAAAATTGAATGTAAATCAGTTTATATACATTTATGTTACATTATTATATACGTTGCGACCCATTTGTGTCAATTTGTAGGTCCCAGATATTAGCGATTTAGCTCCTTTAACACCTACGTCCCGCTCATAGAACTGTTATATGAACCGGTTTAAAGTGCTTATAAATAATTTCACAGTACCTCAAATGACGTATTGGAAATTGATAAAAGAAAACGTACATTTTCAGTCGTATTCGATTTATTTTTCTTTTACGTAGATTTGTATTTGTGGCTCTGCATTAAATCAGTTATGCAGCTATTTGTTGGGTAGAAAACAGTGTATTATAGTCAGTTGTAAATCGTCGTGTGAATCTGCTTTATTATCGTCATCATCTGGGATTCCTTAAGGTTCTGATCTTGGTCTTCGAATCCCCGGTTGTACGTGACAAGGAGTATAGTCGCCTGTCCAACCTCGTGGGTTTTTTTCGGGTCCTCCGGTTTCCCCCCACTGCTAAAGACCCCTATGCGCAAGCGAATTATTGAAATAAAATTAAACCATGTTAGTCCCGAAATGACCTAGTTTGTTTCGAGTGGACGTTAAACACCCCTCTCTCTCTCTCTCTCTCTCTCTCGCTCTCTCTGTTCTTGGTCCGATTTTATTTACGCTGTATACGTGACCATTAGGCGACACTGTCAGAAAATATGGTCTCAGCTATCATTTATACGCAGATCATACTCAGATTTATACTTCTTTTAAACCTAAGTGTCAACCTTTCAATTCATCATAAATACAACTTGAGAACTGCATTAGTGAAATTAGAAATGTCAAAAAAGTTCTATAATTGAATGATGATTAAATCGAATATATTAGGCTCAAGGCATCAATTAAGTAAATTTGTACGCGTAATATCGGCGCAATTTTCGAAAGTTTTATAGAATAGTCCTACACCTCTTTTCTTCTTTTTAAGATAGATGACAGTTTAGACTTTCTTAGGTCCATACACTACAACTTGGGCTGCATTCAGTTGTATTGTTTTAGCAGGAGTTTCTGTATGTAATGTTTAGTTTCAAATTATTTTAGAAAACTGTTCAAATCTGTTGGGTTTCTACTGTTGTGTAGTTTAAAGGGTCTGTCTAGATTAGATAATGAGTGTTGGGTGGGTCTGTCTAGATTAGATAATGAGTGTTGGGTTTATAACTGTTTAGTTCCTTGAGTAATTAACAGACTAATTAATTACCCAACACCCTTTGAGAAATTCATTATCTAATCACACAAACCTCCAACAGATATAAACAGTAAAGGGTTTTGGGCATGTTAACGGTTCTAGTTGATCAATTTCCCTCTGAATTAATTATGAATATTATATGATCCGTTTACATCTGCTTTACATTGTCTGAAGTCTATAACCAGAAAAAGAAACAAACAAAAAACACTTTAAAGTGTACATCTGTCATATCGTAAAAAATAAAACTGTGTATGTGCTGGGAATATCTGTATTAAACGAAATCTAGATTATATATCACTGGGATAAAGCGAAATGTCAGTCGTGCCATCATTACATAACGCATATGAAAAAGTCTTGTCAACATTCACCAGGCACATCTCGCTACCAGTTTTAGACAACACATTTTGTTATTGTATTTACAACCGTATAAAATTTATGCCATAATCCCGACCATGTCATTGAGTCGTATATATTATACTATTATGAGACAAAATAGATTATATCTTTATTGTTGTATTATGTACAGTTAAAGTCGACCTACAACCAACCGGACCTAGTAAACCAGAGAAAGCCCACGAGGCTGGACAGGCAACCCTACTCCTTGTCACGTACAACCGGGGAATCGAAATCTCGCCCGTTGACTCAGTGACAGACCTTATGATACAGCGCGCACGTGCTAACCATTCGGTCATAAGTTAAATATAATAATAATGATTACATAAGTCTATCTTGAATTGCTATTATTAAATTATAGAAGATTAAGACGAGTTCTGTAGCTTAATTATAAACCGCAAATGTTTGATAGTAGTACCTATATAGAGACAATGGTGTAGGGCATATAGTTTGCATTTTATTATACGTTCTTGGATAAATAAATGACTTAATATATGTATTTTATTATATGTTCTTAGATAAATAAATAAATGATTCATAAGCTGATATTTGTATAAATTTATTGCACTTCTTTCAGACATTCGACTAGTATTACTAGGAAAGAAAGGTGTAGGCAAAAGTTCCCTGGGAAACAGTTTGCTTGGGAGAAAAGAGTTTAAATCGACTCCTCTGCAAGCAAAATGTCGGAAAGGATCGACCACACTTGCAGATGGAACCAACCTCGATGCTGTTGACACACCAGGCATTGCGGACACTACAGCTTCGACCACGGAGACATTTGAAGAACTTACACGATGTATAGAGCTTTCAACCCCAGGTCCCCACGTGTTCCTGCTTGTTCTGAAGATTGATAGATTTACACAGGAGGAGATAGACACAATCAAACATCTCAAATATTGGTTTGGGCAGGATTTCATGAAATACGCAGTATTTATTTTCACCGGTAAAGATTCACTGGATTATGATGGTTCAACGATTAACCAGTATCTTGAGAACAGTCCGTCTGAAATGAAAGCACTTATCGGGGACGCAGGCAGGCGGGTTGCAGCAATTAACAACCGGGGTCGTGGTCCTGAACTTAAAGTCGATGTTAAGACCATAATGACTCTAGTAAAACAAGCCATACGGATTAACAATTGTCAATATTACACCAAAGAAATGTACCAACAGGCTGTACAGGCGCGTGCCAAGCAACGTGGTTGGGTGGAAGATGAGCGATTTAATGGCGAAAAAGATTTGCGAATACGTGAAACATTAAAGAGATACAGAGAAGACGAAGAGGCACAGAGAACCAGAAAAAACAAAGGTCTGTATAAAATTGAAATTGCTGTAATCAATAATAAAACAAATATTTGCTTTGGGACAGTTTTGCATGTTCAGTATTTTTCCACCTTGTACACCGTGAAGTTATATAAGAAATATCAATCTCCGAATCCTATCCGACACTCATATACATCCTTACCATTTTTATCTTCATTACAATCATTGGTCCATATTGTGCATGATGACTCACCCACCCTTATCCTTTAGTTTAGAATTATATATGGTGGAGATCACGAAACAAAAGTTGTAAAGTATACAAATTGTCACAGTAAAGAGAGCATCCTAGGTAATCATTCATTAGATCCATTACAAGATCATTAATCTCCCCATTAGGTGCCGGAGCCACACCTGTATAAATTCTATGTTTTACACAGTAACGATCAGTTGAATTGCAAAGTTTTGATACCATACCTATCAGGTTTATTCGGATTATATGTTTTAAATCCTAACTTGCCGCGCCATGGAATTACACCTTCGTCGGTTGATAGTTTCTCAGGCGGGTGGGGGAGGATATATTTCCGAAAAAGAAGAGGGGATCGTGTCCATCATCACCACATGGAAACAAATTGGCATTGTCATTCAGATGAAAAAATGATCAAATATTTCGAAATCTGTCACATGGCATGACCGAACCCAAAAAGGGACACTTGCGACTGAATCAGAAGTACCCTGAAGATTTATCAATAATAGACGAATTACTAAACAAATAAATACTATCATTTCTTCCTCAGACAAATCTCTCCATTTACGAAATCTTGATGAAGATATCAAATTGGTATTATTGTCACGGCAATCTTTAGTATAGCGGTTTGACTCCACGGTCAATGCATGATAAATAATATCCCTAATATAAAGTCTCAACAGGAAGATCAATGTTATATTTTAATCCAGAATTTCGGTGAACTTTTCCGATATATTTTCCCAAGTGACCAGGAATTTCTATCCAAATTTAATTCATTATCACCGGTATTCAACACACCAACCCTCCCAACAGAGTTTGTTGCTATCGAGGTGTCCACTCGTCAAAAGTTGTCATCAAATTTCAGCTGAGTTCACTGTTTTCATCGTTGAATAATATGTCCAACACTTCCTCGGCAATTAGGCGTAACATAACGTCACGTTTTATATACTTGTTTGCGACGAGTGGGCGTTAAACCCAACTTCTCCCTACCTCTCTCTGTTTGTCAAGGTGGTTCACATACATAAATTATGTAAGCATGGTTTTTCAGATCTTTTCTGTTTTCGCGGGTGTGTGGCTCTAACTTTGCTTGTATATATATATATATATTTCATATTTTACAGATCTGCACATTGAAACCATGCCATCAGAGAATTCGAACAGTGGTATGTATATGATATCTTAATAGCTCTAATTAAATATTATATAGTTTTATCAATATCCACAGTACAAGCATATTCTTTCTCCGCTGAGGACAGGTGGTAATAATTCCCAATTCGGTTTAAATACTCCAGAAACTGCATTATTATGGGTTGGTGCGTGTATGAGGAACTCCCAATTTTCTAGGTTTGTTTGAATTCGGAATGAGGATACATGTGTTTGTTCTATCTTCAGAAATTAGGATCGTCATTCTTGGTAAAACAGGAGTGGGTAAGAGCTCCCTGGGAAATCACCTGATACAGAACAACTGCTTCCAATCAAGTTCTACTGGAACATCAGTCACGTCCATCTGTCAATTCGGCCAGGGTAAGCGTAGTGACGGCACTACATTATGTGTAGTGGACACCCCCGGCCTTTTTGACACCAGACAATCCAATAAGGAAACAATGACGGAAATTGTTCGATGTATTGGACTGTCGTCTCCTGGTCCCCACGTTTTTTTCTTTGTACTCCGAATCGGTCGATTTACAAAGGAAGATTTGGACACAGTAGATCATCTAGTAGCCGTCTTTGGGGAAACGGTTGTCCATCATGTTGTTGTCATCTTCACTGGAAAAGACTCTCTGGAACATGAGGGGAAAACATTATCTGATTATCTCAATGACAAGACAACCCCACACGAGCTCAACCTATTATTACAGCGCTGCCATTCACGTTGTGCTGCTATAAATAACCATGCTCCTGATACACATGCAGATATTGACGGGATAATTAACTTGGTGCATAAAACCATTCAAGAAAATGGTGGAAATCATTACACCGGCAAAATATATTTAGCCGCTGAAGAGGCCATGCGAGAGAAAATGAAGAGCATGGAAGAAGGGCGTAAAACAGAAAGGCAATATGCTGAACGTGAACAAACAGAAATGCCACAGGAGAAAGAGAAACTAATGGCTGGGTTGGGTGAAAACATGAGTTCCGATTCCCGTAGTATTCTGCGGGAGTTGTTAGCAAGTTCTAGTTTGATCCTTACAAGTCTTATTGAGACAGTTGGTCCAATTCTCGTTACTGCTCTAGCCCAAATAGCACAAAAGCGATGTACTATTAGTTAGATCAATAGTAGAAATACCGTCAGATGTGGATGTCATTCGACGGTCATCTTGTTTTATCCATTTATCTTGTTTAGTTAATTATAGTACTTCATAAATTTGATAATGCATGGCATTATGGTTGTATTAGCTGATATCTACACAACACATCTGACGTTACCTATGATATAATTGAAACGTAATATTGAAAAGGGGATAAGTAAGGGTTATCGATTGAGACAGAGGGGTTCAAGTTAGATGAACATCCGAGCTCATGCAAAGTTGTGCACCGAAAAGACGGTGTTTATCTAACTTGATCCCGAGGTCGATGTCGGTAACTGACTTGCACACTGGATACTTTGTAGAAGTTGAATGAGTGAATGAAACAGTTGCTGTGAGAGAGGTAACCTGGAGGGGTGGTCTACCTATAACCTGGAAGGGAGTGGCATGTGAAATATAGTATTATTCCTGTGGGTTTTTTTAAATACTCCAACCTAAAACTTAGAAAAATACGAATTTGGTGGGAAAGCAGTGTATCCACATATCCGCCATACCTTATGTAACGATTTGTTTAATGTCATCTTCAGTTTACTAAAGACAAATACCGAATCACCATTTCCACCTGTCCATGGTTATTCCCGAATGTCGATAATTCTTAAACTTCTTCCCCCTATTAGTTTTCAGTTTTAATGCGTATTACGTAAGAGAACGTTTTTGAAAAGTAACTCGGTTCTATCCGGCATTTTGAACGTGGAAGAAATTGTGACAATATGAAAATATATATATCTAGAACGCACTTAAGATCAATTGAAAATAAATCTAATTCTGTTAATATTACTACGAACATAAAATGGTGACGTCACGTTTATATTTTAACTTAAGGTAGAATATTTTCTTATTATATTATGCTTTTTTGGGGTTTTTGGTTTTTTTAGTAATAAAAATATTATTACTCAATTTTATTTTGATTTGCATATCTAAGCACCCCATATTCATTATTATAATGACATCATATGTTTACAATTAAAGAAGCTATATCGATATTCTTTGGCACCGAGAAAGGACATAAATAGGTTGCAACACATATAATAATGTAATATGAATGTATAAAAACTGATTTACATTCAATCGTTCCTGTTTTTATTTTAATTTCTAATCAGTTATGTTCGACGAAATACGCGAAGAGTCCGAAATGAACGACAGTCTTTGGCGTCTGGTTATTCTAGTCTACACCAGTAGTTTTGTCCTATATGGTGCATGTTTAGCCTCGATCATCGAGTCGCTTCATGCAAATGGCGTTCGAAAGCATTCTGGCACGCGATTCGTTTGCCAATTTTAAAATTTCCATTGTCTTAAATATCAGAAGCCAAACTTTTACTTTTAACGGTAAGATAACAACATGAATGTTGATTTAAATTGACCAAGAAGTCGTGTTTGCAATGTCGAAGACTGTAGTTGATATTGTGTTAAAGACTTGACTCCTCTAGTGTGTACAATAGTTTAGGACAGTTATTGTGCGGAATTGTTTTACCAAAGGTTGCTTTATTGTCCCTCAACTTTCGCGGGAAGCAGGGGACTATTAATTATGTTCGACGAAATACGCGAAGAGGACTATCAGAGGCGGATACAAGGGGCGCCGTCTCCCCCCCCCCCTAATTTTCGACAGTGCCCTTTTTTACTACTGAAAGTGCCTTTTCCCAGACCGAGATATGTCCGTTCCCAACCCGTTGCAGGGATCCCAAATGACTCAAACCATCGACTCAAACATATCAGTCTGGTCTAATTAATGCTTCCACTTTCAAACGAATTCTTGTGGTTTCGCTAACGGTGCCCTAATCCTATAGAGTGACTATAGACAGACATCAATGATAGCATCTTGTGGAATCGGCGGCGTACACACTCATGCCCATCACCTACGTGCATGAGTGCAACTTGATGTAGCATTGTTTCATGTGTGCACAGTACAAGTTACAAGGCTTAAATAGTGAAGTGGCTAGGGAATAGATTCGTCTTTTTTCCCCATCATAACCCCCCCCCCCCCCCCAAAAAAAAAAAAAAAAAAAACCCACCGCGGTCAATGCCCACATTTTGCGGCGCCCCCCCCCCCTTTCAAAATTCCTAGATCCGCCCCTGACTATTAAAGCGGCTTCGTTTTTGTCAGTCGTGTGGTTACTCTATTTCTAATTGATATCCAAACTTGGGGAAGTTATGTTTATGCTAGGCAGAGAAAAGCAGTTTGATATGTAGATAGGGCGTTAAACTCCATTCCATTTATATGTAAATACTATGAATGAAATCACTTAAATGAAATGTTGTTTAATGCACAGGAATCTGACCTTCTATCCGTATATATATATGCATACACCATGTCGTACCAGACAATATATAATAAAAAAAACAACAGGAATGCAATGCCTGTTGAAAACTCGATCTTACCTGCTCTCGCTTCGGCTCGTTTTTTTTTTCAAAAATTCGTAATGTCAGGCAACCAAACCTCTGTCAATTCACTCAGATATGTTTTTCCTTCAATCTAGTCGTTTTGATTTGCATAAATACTCCCACAAAACGATATCATCGCCACTGGTTTCCAATATTTACATCGTTTTCGTCCATTTTCATTTTGTCACTGCCGCCATGCGCTGACGTCACACAAATAGACGCATTCGGCAGACCTCGTTTTTTTTTTGTTGCTGGGGTTGAGGGATTCTACCGATATTCGCCGAATATGTATAGACGTTTCACTGACGACCCTACTCCTTATTATGTGTTAACCATTCGGCCATTTTAGTAGCTTTTCATGTAAGCAATTTTAAAATGGGAGCTAAAGAATAAAATTTGCCTAATTTTTTAGTACCGTAGCTTTTCATGTAAGCAATTTTAAAATGGGAGCTATAGGATAAAATTTGCCTAATTTTTGTCACGTAAAAAAGGGATTGAAACCACCCCGCTTGACACGTCATGTTAACATTGAAAAGTAGACCAAAAACTCAGCAATCACCATAACAATAGTTCTGAAACTAACTTGACAAAAATAATGTCATGATACTTGGTTAAATTGACATAGCGTTCGCAATGGTAAACAACTGATAAAATATCACGCCATTATCATTAGTGAAGATCCTCAATGGTGTTTTATATTCATAATTAAAAATAAACATTACATTTTAAAATTGATTCAGCCCAAAAAAAGTAGTAAATTATATTAGTTCTGAAACTAACTCTACAAAAATACTTCTTTGGGGTCATATGGCGTTAAATTAAAATGGTTTCAAATAAATATGTCCTGAAACCATTTTAAATTAACCCCATATGACACCAGGGAAGTATTTTTGTAGAATTAGTTTCAGAACTAATATAATTTACAATATTTTATTTTTTGTCCAAATCAACTTTAAAATGTAATGTATATCTTTAATGTTTCAAATAAATATGTCCTGGATTGCCGAGTGGTTAGCACGTGCGCGCTGTATCACAAAGCCTGTCATTGAGTCAACTGGCGTGGTTTCGAATCCCCGGATGTACGTGACAAGGAGTAGGGTCGCCTGTCCAACCTCGTGGGTTTTCTCCGGGTCCCCCGGTTTCGTCCCACTGCTAAAGACCCCTACGCGCAAGCGAATTATTGAAATAAAATTAAACCATATGTTAGTCCCGAAATGACCTAGTTTGTGTCGAGTGGACGTTAAACCCCATTTCTCTCTCTCTCTCGCTCTCTCTCAAATATGTCCTGAAAGTATACTATCTTACCTTGCGATCTAAAAATTATACGTTTTGTATTTCTAATTGTGTCAATTCTTGTCAGGTAATATGGAGCATATTTAAGTAACATAAGACCGGTTGTGTGTTAGATAACATTAAATGCGACTCCAGTTTTAAATTAAATCATTAAATGGAGATAGTATTATAATCCGTTTACATCTGCGCCATCCGATGGTCTAGAGAGTTGATCATCTAGAGAGCTGATTAGAAGCTCCTCGTGTGAACAAATGTCTAAATAATAATTTATATAACATTAAAAACGGTATTCAGACTAGCGTCATGCACGGTTTTTGCTCCAGCAGCCTCTTATGCCATTCCGCAGACTTTCGTTTCATATTGAGATCCCTTGGTGTCGTGTTCATGTATGCCTGTACTACATTTACATGGTCTAAAACCCACTGAGAGGTTTGTTGGGGGTGGATGACCGAATGGTTAGCGTGTATGCGTTGTATTATAAGGTATAACTGGCGTGGTTTCGATTCCCTCATGGGTTTTCTCCGGTTCTTCCGGTTTCCTCCCTCTGCTAAAGACCCCTACGCGCAAGCGAATTTGTGTCGAGTGGACGTTAAACCCCATTTCTCTCTAAACTGATTAAAAGATAAACAGATTCGTACATGAAAACAAATGAGCTATAGGGTGTCAAAACTTTCCAATATCTTGTAAACAATAAGCCATTTTGTATCACGTTCTACTTCAACTGCAGATTTAAGGTGAATGACAGTTAAGAGCAATTACGATTACTTTACTCTGATGTGACATACATGCAGCAGAAACATTTTCTGTTGTAGTAGAAGAAATTTGCTGTTCATCCAATCAATCTAGTGTTCTGCGTATCTGGTTTAAGTTTTTCATCTGCAAACGCATCTGTCAAATTCGTCCTCTAACCTGGGCCCTGTTTCTCGAAATCTTAACAAAGATAGCATCCAAATGTTAGTAGATACTTCAATTTTGATTGGCTAAGCACTAAAATCAATCTAATCTTATCCAATCAAATTACCAAAATTTGGATTTTATCTGAGTTAAAAGTTCGTGAAACAGGCCCCATGACGTAAGTATGAAGCACGTTGAAATCGGAGAATTAACAAACACCAATGTTGGGAAATGAAATGGGGTTTAACGTCCTACAGTGTGCTATGAGGGAAATTTTGCCCGGACAGCGGCACTACGGCCTACTCTTATATCGAATTCCAACTGCCAAGGGATCTTTTACGTGCACGCCAATGTGTACACGGGACCTCGGTTTTTCGTCTCATCCGAATGACTAGACATCTATCCTTATCAGGAAAATAAAAAAAAACATTCTACACTGTTATAAAATTGGTATGAAAACGCTTTTCAATTTGATTGCTAATCACGAACGAAATGCATGGTTTAAGCTTTGAAAATTGTATAGGTATGTAAGTAATGTTAGTCCAGAAATGACCTAGTTTATGTCGAGTGGACGCTAAACCCATCTCTCTCTCTCTCTCTCTCTCTCTCTCTCTCTCTCTCGCCTTAATAATATATTTAAATTATCAAAGCTTTTTAATAGTTTTCATGTGTTGTTGATACAAAATGTCGCACTACCGTGCCCGAAATAAATATTAAATCTAGTCGTTCTAGTGAATGTTACATTCCCAGTGAAATCCAATCAGTACTCTTCACGTGTTGTTAGATAGCGTATGACGACAAGTCGTTCCAGTGAACGTTCATTTCCCAGAGAATTTCACATTCTCCGCGCAATCAATACTCTTCATACTCTTGATAGCGTATGACCTCGATCGTTCCAGTGTCAGTGAACGTTGAAATCCCAGAGAATTTCAACTTCTTTGCGTAGGCTATACTACCACGAATTTCGCCTTCAATAAAAACGTATGTAGGGTAGAATGCATCAAATAAAAGTAGCATCCGTGTAAATAACAAAATTACTCAAGAGGAAATATGTTTTATAGATATCTGAATTAAAACTTTTAGGATTATATTAAAACATAATAAACAAAACAAGCTTTAGTCTACTTCGTTCTTCAACATTGATAGGGATTTGCTGTATATCAATAATATGGAAGCGTGTAGGGGTCAATTGATTTGCTGTATGTCAATAATATGGAAGCGTGTAGGGTTCAATTGCGCAAAAGATATCACGAGTATCACAGTAAGGTAATATGTTAACATATTGTGATAGTTGGGATGATTTTAACTCTGACAATTTTTACTGATTTAATTGAATCAACGCCTCATTTTGTGTGTCGTCTTTTTGTTTTACAATTCGCGTGTTTGCGTTAAGATTTTACTATTTTACAGCATTATCAGCATATGTAACCACTGCGCATGCTGATAAATGTCATATGTTGACAAAACGTCATAATACCAATATCATAACATAAACAT